TGTGTGTGTGTGTGTGTGTGTGTGTGTGTGTGTGTGTGTGTGTGTGTGTGTGTGTGTGTGTGTGTGTAGTGTGTGTGCGTGCGTACGTGCGTGCGTGCGTACGTGCGTGCGCGCGCGCGCGCGTGTGTGTGTGCACTGGTAGGGTACATCCAACTTGCTTGCACCGGGTCTCTGCATAAAGCAAGGGTTATCAACTCGTAATTGACTTTAGTTCATCGAATTCGTTTTCATCATCTATCTGTACAATCGGTCTATTAGCGGGTATAGTCAATGAACCCAAGTTTGTTCACTAAATGCTCCCAGGCCAAATCGGTAGATAAACAACAACAAATGTCACGTGTACACGGAACGTCCGGTCTGGACTAATCCGAATTAACCGAGAATCGTACCAGTGGATCAGGACTTTATCTTTCACATATACTTATACCTATACTCCTGGTATAAGTCTATATACTCTATGGTATCTATGGTACTCTATGGTCTCCAGGCTATATACGCCAACATTTCAATTTCGATGTTCTATTTTAAGCAGACGCTATGCTGACTCTCAATGTTTATGCAAAAAAGGGAAATCGAAGCAGAGTACTCAGTAGCTTTGTACAAGAGCTGATTAAATATGCAAAATATTATAACGTCACGCCAAATTATTTCACGTAGGAAAATGTGCGTCGTTGTATAATAACTCTCGCTAGGTTCATCAGTATTTACGAGCGATTCTATTGCGGCTTCCCGCAGCTGTTGCTGGTACCACGTAAGCAACACACCCGTCACTTCCGGGTTACGAAAATAACTGGCTACAGCTGAACTTGGTTGCCATGTAGATTGTCTTTATAAGTGTCTTTATAAGTGTCTTAATAAGTGTCTTTATAAGTGTCTTAATAAGTGTCTTTACAAGTCTTTATAAGTCTTTATAAGTCAGCATAGAGTCTTCATAAGTGTCTTTATAAGATTGTCTTTATAAGGTAGCGCGGACGAGACCCGGCCACGACCACTGCTTGGCAACATCTTTACTGCACTCACCTAATTTGATTCAATGCTTCGCATCAGTGTGTACGTATTAATCGGTTGAAAATTTAATCCAAATTATAAATTTCTGTTCGCGATGGAAAAATCTTAATTGCATGCATAAGACATGTCCTTTGTGTCCACTATATAATGACTCATGCACTTATGGCGAGGTTATCTGTCGCCGTTTCTAATTACATTTCCCGTTGGTAGTGTTCTATATACAGACTGAAGGCACTCTAGGTGAATTTTTATATGTTGCATGAAAAATTCCAGACAACGGTCGATAGTAAATCTCTCCGGCGCGCTTACTCTAGTCTAGGCACCGTCGGCCGAAGACAAACTCTCACAGAGAAAGTTCGAAGTTTTGCAGTTTGCTGCTGCGGCGGCGGCGGCGCATGGTTGATGGGATTTGTCTACACGTTTCAGCTGCTGCGACCTCGCCCCGATTATATTAGTAAGCAGGGCAAAGCAAAGTCCCCGCTACCGTAAACATCCCGCTAAATTTCTATCCGCTAATGTGAAAAAATTTACATATTCAAAATACGGGGCATCTCATTTCGCATCGTCATGAATAAAATAAACTGCGGGAAACCTTGTTTAGTTGTCCGGGGTCATCACCTCTGAAATCGGCTGGATATAATTGTATGCGATGGTATTGGTCTCATCGGCGTATACCGTAAATATCTTTGCGAACGCTACGGCAATTTGGAAATTATAATAGATACCACAATTTGGGAAACCGATTACTAAAGTAATGTGGCATATAGAAAGCTATAAAGGTTACAGTTTTGGTGAATTATGCGTTTCGATAGCGACAAATTTAGAAGTCGTACAAGTCAAATAGTTAATCTAGTTATGCAGTGATTTAGTAATAATCAAGCTATGCGCGTCCAGAACGTGAAATCCCGACTACCGTATATTTACGTTGCGTGCGTCTGTGGAACAGTGCGCTAGGGTTATAGCCTTGCCAGTGCTAGTTTCCTCTTCGAGGCTTCTCACATGCGGCAAATGTGCGATGTCTCGGCGGCGTCTTTTTACCGCGCTTTCCCCCTGATGTTATCTGCAGCGATCATGTGTATGACGCCGCCGGTGCGAAGGGTTCAAACGAAACGTTTGCTGCAATATATCATTCCGCTCCCTCTGCAAAGCTACATTGGTCTACCATCGGCATTTTTGTGCCTGCGAAATCCGCCACTGAAAGTTAACTTTGAGAACTAAGGGGGCCAGATGGCGTAGGGGGGGGGGAAGATATACTTAGTAGAGCACGGGTAGACCGCTGGTAGTACAATGTACCAACAGCACGATGGTAATAATAATTCACTCGCAATAATCTTACCTTACAGCAACAATATTGCTTTCTCACAAATTTAACACAATTCTATTGCATGGCGTCTAACTGCTTCCAAATGTCACCATGCGTGTAATGTCTCGTATGATAATTTGTATATATGTATGAAGAAAAATGTATATAGAAACATTCCTAATATGAAAATAATAGTAAATTAAAATGAAAGATTTACGCTGAATAGTTCACGTTACTTAATCTATTAATCGTTTATATATATATATATAGCACATATATAGAGTTGAATGTATTGAACGTTAATTAATACCTTCACGTCTAGGATATTAGAAGGTCGGGCAAAATATACAGCATTTCAACGCGCATCAAATAGCTATATTTGTACGCCTTTTCAGTGTAAACTACTTGCGCTGCTACCCACACCCATTCCTATACCACCGGGCCCATGAATTGCTTGCAGTCACGCGAAACACTTCCCGACTTCCCCACCCCACGTTTTTGCTTCTCATTCTGTCCTCTACCTGGGTCGTGAGGTTCATGTAGACGCTATGCCACGGCGATTTATCTGGTGAACATCATTCTTCTAGCGATATATGTGTGTGTGCACACACACACACACACACACACACACACACACACACACACACACACACACACACGTGCACGCGTGTGCGTGTGTGTGCGCGCGTATGTGCCTGTGAGCGTGCGTATGTGATATAGGTTCGTTGGTATGGCATGTTATACTAAGACGGTGGATAGTGGAAAACAATAAAACTATGAAAATTGGGGATACTAGTGTTAGTAAAATGAAATCGGCAACAGCATTATATGAAGTGTAAAATATATATACATAATAGCTATATACCCGCACCTATTAAATTATTATTTCACCATTACATACGCATGCAGCGATTTTACATCGACCATTAAATTATCCATAGTATGTACACACACATACACATCCATTGTTTCCACGTGTTCCCCTCTAATATAGTGTAGTAAGCAGTCTTATCCTTGATAATATATATCACTATAATATCATGTTATATGTATGTGTGCGTATATAAGCTATATATTATTTCGCCGTTACACACGAAGCGATTTTACATCGATGTTTTTACACTATTTATTCATAATAGACAGATTGTAGGGCCAAAAATCCCGCTATAGCTCGTATCGATTGCCTACTTCATCATTACACAATCTGTTATGAAACAGTCATAACATTTGGTTTCTTAGTCCTTCGGGGTGATGGGTAAAGCAAAGTAGAAATCATTTCTGGGAAGAAATGGTGGCCCTGAAAAGGGCCGGTTGGTTTCACGGGTACAGGCGCAGTGTTTAAGCGCGTTCGCCACGGATACGGCGAGCGAGCTGGATGTCCTTGGGCATGATCGTGACTCTCTTGGCGTGGATGGCGCACAGGTTGGTATCTTCGAAAAGACCAACGAGGTAAGCCTCGCTAGCCTCCTGAAGAGCCATCACGGCGGAGCTCTGGAAGCGCAGGTCAGTCTTGAAGTCTTGTGCGATCTCACGGACCAGGCGTTGGAAGGGCAGCTTGCGGATGAGCAGCTCGGTGCTCTTCTGGTAACGACGAATCTCTCTCAGGGCGACCGTGCCAGGTCTGTAACGATGAGGTTTCTTCACTCCTCCGGTAGCCGGGGCGCGTCTATTTTTTCCGTACCGCAAATGCGCAAAGGGTTCCTCTGATTGGCTGCTTTGGTTTGCTCTGACG